GAGAGAAAGAGAGAGAGAGAGAGTGTGTGTTGTGCTTCCTCTGTGGATGCTATTTGGGTTCGCATTGATGGTGTAAATATTAATAAAAGGTAATCATTTCAAACTTTAGAGTTGGTCACAAGAAAAAATATTCTGACACTTGTTAAAATAGGAAAACACTTTTTAAGGAAGAATTTATTCAGGACAATTTTGATAGATGCCAAGGCTATTGCAGTGCAGGAGAGAGATTGGACTTAACTCCAAATACAGATTGAGCATTCCTATTAATAATCCAAAAATCCAAAATCTAAAATACTCCAAAATCCAAAACTTTTAAAGCCCCAACATGATGTTACAAGTGGAAAATTCCACACCTGACCTTATGTGATGGCTCACAGTCAAAATGCAGTCAAAACAAAAATATCGTATAAAGTTACCTTCAGGCTATGTATATAAGGTATATATGAAACACAAATGCATATTGTGTTTATACTTGGGTTCCATCCCCAAGATATCTCATTATATATATGCAAATATTCTAAAATCCGAAAAAATCCAAAATATGAAACACTTCTGGTTCCAAATATTTCAGATAAGGGATACTCTCAGCAAAGATAGCTGGAGATTTATAGCCAATGAGAAGAATGAGGAAGTCAGTGGATGGAAAATTATTAAGAGGAGACATCAGGGGTAGGAGGATTCTTACAAAACTAACTTCACAGGATTCTTGCTTATGGTAGAATGACCTACGCATCAAAGGTGGGGGAAAATAAACTTGATCAGATATTGAGGGTGATCAGGTATGAAGTGTGGGGATTCATTCTAAACTGATTTAGCAGGATTCTTGCTAAAACCAGTCTATGCAGGCCCAAAGATGAGGCCTAGTCGAAAAGATGGCTCAGAGGAGGGAAAGCAAGGATTAAAATTGTAAAGAGGCCTTTTAATGCTGTATTTGAGTGTTTAAACCTTACTTATTTAACATTGAAGAAAGGAAATGGCATGCTCAAATATGTTTTTCAAAAAGAAAAAGGCACGAAAGTGGAGATGGGTTAGAATGGAAGAAGCTGTGATCAGGAGGCTATAGGGCTAGGTTAGGTAAACGATAACGACTTTTTGGATAATGGGAGAAGCAATGGAGAAAATGATATAGGGGAAATACTTAAAAGGTAGAATCGACAGAAAGTTGCTTATGTGAAAAGTAAGAGTTAAGAAAAAGCCTAAAATGATCAAAGGTTTATTCAGGAAAAGAAAATAAAGCATTGGCAGTTTATACTTCTGCCAAAGAAGAGGTTTACTCCCAGATTAGTGTAGTTCTATCCCCATCTCTCAGCAGGGTATTTTTCACCTTTCCTGGTGGAAAGCATTCCACATTGAAAGGCTTCCATTGCTTATTTATTCTCATGTCTAGAGAATTTATCACATGTAGAAAACACCAGCTGGCAAGAATGGATAAAGATTTCAGATAATTTTACCCATTTCTCTGCATTTATCTACTCACATAAGTGGCCTGTGAGCAATTCAGAATTTATTCCTAATGCGTTTTGTTTCATTTAGTTCTCAGATATACAAAGGCAGTGTGGTAGGAACGTCTACACATATTTCTAATATTTTTATCTCTATTTTTAGTTAGAGTAAGACTTATTAGATGCAAACAATTATTCAGTTCCCATTGAAGAACTTCATAGTATCTTAGAAGGATCCATTAAACTCCCCTCATAGTAATCACTAGAATTACAAATAGCTTCCCTATGCCTGGGGGCATTTGGCAGTTCTTGGTGATAATGATCCCCATCTAGTTTTGTTCTTGTTTTTCCCAAAGTAAAAGGACCTTTGTCTCTTTATACATATAACTCCAAAATTAAATGTAGTTCATACTTATATAAGCATGCTTCTATATTGACCAGAAATGTAAATCACGACCTCCTCTAACCTTTTCACCTTCTCTGGGGTCAAGTGGTAAATGTTCTGAAAGAGAGTTCGTCAGTGAAATGTCACTCACCAATACTCTAGAGAAAGGTAAATCTATTGGAAAATGAGAAAGAGAAAATCACCACCAGAAGTTATTATTGATTAACTAGTTCAAGCCAAATCCTCCAACTTCCATAGTTCTGAAAGTGTGAGAGAAAATGTTCTTGACTTAATTTGTGTGCAAGAATCATCAAAAACATCAAATTGGCTCCCAAGTCCTTTCGACCCAACCCCAATATCCTTTGTCAGTGTCCTTGCTTTATGGTATGACAATATATTTCAAGCATATCTTATACATTTTCTACTCCAGCTCCAGAATTAGCCATTTCTCCAAAGAATGCTTTTTCCTTTTAGTAGGAAATGGTATTTAGATACCACAATTTGAGTGGTAGGAACACTTGTTGCTATTAGGATAGACATTATTTCCATGCCTTTTTGGACAAAGCTAGGAATAGTATGAAACATATGGTTTTGAATCATATGAAATTGACTTTTCTATAAATCAAAAATGGTAGAATATAAGCAATTTCATGTCGTTTGACCTAATATTTTTAAGAGAAAATGTATCATGAGTACGTCCAATTCCAGTTAGGTTTCATAGTGTTTTTATTTAATGCCTTTGATTTTTATTTGTATTTCCTTTCTCTTTCACTGAAAATCTTGGTTCCTAGCAATGTTAATATGATTACTAATTTCCTTTATTTTACTATTAGATTCAGAATATCAATATGAATATTATCATCTACATGATTACTGGAAATAGTTTCTTCAATAAATAAATTACAGCTAAAAATGGAAGAGGGTCAAAAATCTATGGTTTAAAAGAGACTTGAAAGATATATTGACTAAATGTAATCAATAGGTTTTATTTGGATCTCGATTTGAACAAAGCAATTGTATTGTATTTTTAAAAACTAGACTATTAGGGATATTTTAACATCAACTAGTCATTTTAATAAAGTTAAAAGTTATAATTAACTTTTTTAGAAACAAAAATATTACATTTATGTTGCAAAATACAATCTTATTGCTTAAGATACATTCCAAAAGACTTAAGGATGAAATTAAATGATGTCTGAGATCTACTTCAAAATGGCCCAGTGGGGTGCAAAGAAGGGAAATGAGTAAGGATATAGATTAAATAAAATTGGTCATATATTGAAAATTGTTGAAGAAAGGCAATAGTTATATGAAAGATTCTAAGCTTCTCTTTTTAGTATGTTGGAAAACTTTCATAATAAAAAGTATTTTTTTAAAGGGTCTAGTGATAGGAACACTAATGCTAATGAGTGATGTTGAAAATGGCTATAAAGGGTTTGAATAAAAGTGCTTCATGAAATGGGAGAAGAAAAATTTATACAGCATTATATTTGTAAACATTTAAAACATTTATTCGTAACTAAGTTAATATATTGAATATTATCATAAACTTTGAAAATTTCATCTACATGCAGAGATTAGATAGATAGATAGATATAGATGTAGATATAGATAATAACTGCAAATCTTTGGGGCAGAACCTTTTACTTAAGGTCCCAGATGGTTTTCTATTAGGTAGTCACTGCTTATTGCATTCAGACGACTATTAGTGGCCTTAAGTGAAAGAAGACAACTGTTTCATGGAGCATCTTTGATGCTTACACTGTGTGCTAAGTTCTTGGGTGGGATATTAATTCATTTATTTATATTTATTTTAAAAGTTTATAAAATAAGACAACATTATATAATATGGACAAAGGTGTGTGAGAGAGAGGAGGAAAAGAAGAAACAAAGATAATTTTGGAAAATAGATCAAGGAATGAGCTTAGTGGAAAATTACATTTAACAAACTCCTAAACTGCTGTTCTATGTGGGTGTCAAATTTATTTTTAAGCTTTCTAGTCATGAAAATGAAAAGTCAAGCTTGATCAGTGTCTTAGTCTGTTTAATAGTGCTATAAAGAATGCCTGAAGCTAGGCACTTTAAAACGAAAAGAGGTTTATTTGGCTCACAGTTCTGTAGGCTGTGCAAACATGGCACCAGCATCTGTATCTGGTGAGGGCCTCAGGCCACTTCTACTCATGGCAGAAGGTGAAGGGGAACCAGCATGTGCAGAGATCACATGGTGAGAGCGGAAGGAAGAGAGAGGGAGAGAGGGGAGGTGCCAGGCTCTTTTTAGCAACCCACTCTCATGGGAACTAATTCATTCCCTTGAGTACCAATCCAGTCTCTCTTTTTTTTTTTTTCCAAAGTAGGTATTTATTATAAAAACTATACAAAATGGCTTTTTATCACTCACAATTCATCATGAAAAATTTTAAACAGTGTGTATCTTCCCTCCAAAAAGGTGTGTTCTGCCTTTACAGTCTTCACTGGCAGTGCATTCTGATGGGACAGAAAATAACTCACAAGCATCCCATATAACTTTGATAGAATGTACAAAGGTACAGTAGAAGCCAGAGTCTCTACAGTAAATCATAAAAAAAAAATTTTCATCAAGTTTAAGTGTCACTGAAGTTATAGACAGTAAGGATAACAGAATAAATTGTAAATGGACATCTGCATTGAATTTTTCAAAGCAAAAATGGTTTTATATTTTTAAATTTTGTTTTATCCTGCTCAGAATACTTTTAAAAGTTAAAGATTTTCCCAATTACCTGAAATATCAAAAATCTATTGTACTTTAAGAAAACTCTAACAAGCAGCATCATTTAAATAGTGCTTAACTCACAAATATGTGTGCGACAACCATCTCACCAACCTTAATATCACTCAGGCATGTCAGAGTCACCAGCTCACAATTCAGCACCCTGACAGATGATTGGGAAAAGGCCATGAGGTGAGCACGCCCGGGGTTAAGAGCTCGAAGAGGAAACCTCTCGCTGGAGTGGAGGATTGCTGCAGGCCGCTCGCCCGCGACTGCGGGGCTGGCAGGCGCGAGGCGTCTGCACCTGGCGAGCGATGGCACCGGGCGGGAGCTCCCCGGGGTAGCCGGGGCGAGGCTGCTGGGCCCCAGATCGCACGCCCGCCCCACTCCCCAACCTTGGCGTTGGCCCAGCCCGGCCCAGGCCGCTATGGGGCTCCTGCGGCTGCTGGTCCTGGCGGTGCTGACGTCGGAACGTGGGGTGGCTGGTGGAGGCGAGGCCTCCGGGAACTCCAGTGAGGATCTTCTTGAATTTTCTCTGGGGAAATTTAGATACTTGAAACTCATCAGATCCTTTCAGAGGAAGCTATTTTGCATCATATTTCAAGCAATGTGACTTTTCTTATTTTCCAAATACACTCACAGTATCAGAACACAACAATTTCTTTTTACAGGACTCTCCTTCCCAATGCCTCGGAAACAGGCACTAACAGAGGGCTGGTTTCCATTCTTAGACCAGAGCAGAGTATGTGCACTTGGTACTTGGAGACTTTAGATGCAGAGCCTGTTCACAATGTGACCGTTCCACTCTCCTACTCGGAAAGAGATCCTATCCCTGGAGGCTGTAATTTGGAGTTTGATTTAGGTATTGATCCCGACATTTACTTGGAGTATAATTTCTTTGAAACGACTATCAAATTTGCCCCAGCAAACCTAGGCTATGCAAGAGGCACAGATCCTCCGCTACGTGATGTTGGGGCAGGCCGGGACTCTAGGTGGAAGTTGCAGTATGATGTCTATCGGTATTTTCTGCCCGAGAATGACCTTACTGAGGAGGTGTTGCTAAAGCATCTGCAGAGGATGGTCCGGGTGTCCCAGGTGAAGGCCAATGCTGTCAAGGTGGTAATCCTAACTGCTGATGATAAGACAACCGTTTCCTTCTCCTCCCTCCCTGGACAAGGTGTCATTTACAATGTCATTGTTTGGGACCCATTTCTAAATACGTCTGCTGCTTATGTTCCTGCTCACACGTTTGCTTGCAGCTTCAAGGCAGTGGACGGTAACTGTGCTTCCCTTGGAAGAGTATCTACCAAAGTGTTCTTCACTCATTTTGCCCTGCTTGGTTTCTTCATTTGTTTCTTTGGACATAGATTCTGGAAAACAGAATTATTCTTCATAGGATTTATCTAATTGGGATTCTTCTTTTATATACTGATTGCAAGACTGACACCCATTAAGTATGATGTGCATCTGATTCTGACAGCCATTGCTGGAAGTGTTGGTGGAATTTTCTTGGTAGCTACATGGTGGTGATTTGGAATCCTCATGCTGTGCATGCTATGTATTGGACTAGTGCTGGGGTTCCTCATCTCGTCGGTGACTTTCTTCACTCCACTGGGAAACCTAAAGGTTTTTCGTGATGATGGTGTGTTTTGGGTGACTTTCTCTGGTATAGTTATCCTCATTCCACTAGTTTTCATGGGCTGCCTAAGAATACTGAACATACTGACCTGTGGAGTCATGGGTTCCTATTCGGTGGTTTTGGCTGTTGACAGTTACTTGTACACAAGCCTCTCTCACATCACTTTGAACGTACTCAGGAGAGCACTCAACAAGGATTTCCATAGCACTTTCACAAACTTGCCTTTTCAAACTAACGACTTTATTACCCTGGCAGTCTGGGGGATGCTGGCTGTAAGTGGAATTACACTACAGATTCGAGGAGAAAGAGGGCAACCGTTCTTTTCTCCCCACCCGTACAAGTTATGGAACCAATCCAGTCTCTTGAGAGCAAGAACTTACTATGCGAGAATGGCACCAAGCCATATATGAGGGATCTGCCCTTATTACTTCCCACTAGGTCCCACCTCCCAACACCGCCACATGAAGGATCAAATTTCAACACAAATTTTGGAGGAGGCAAATATCCAAACCATAGCAATCAGCTTCACAATTCATAGTGACCACAAAATAAAAGTAAGCCAAATGCTATGGAGAAGCACATCAATTCTTGGTATTAAAAGAAGAAAGATTCCAAAGACACATATCATCTCATCCACAGATAAGAAATTTTAAGCTTAAAGAAGGAGGTAGTGCAAAGAGGGAGACTGTGGTCTTTTTATTTGTTGTCATTTTTCAGCTTAGAAAACCAAGAGGTGATATCTGTACATATTACATTGCAAGCTTCTGTAGTTGGAAGCAACAGAAAGCAACTTGCTGTAAATCAAATCAAACCTAGGGTGATGTAACATTGTAAATACTGTATATATAAATATTGAGCAGAAGAAAAAAAACTGCCAGATCTCATGAGAACTGGTACAGGGAACTGAGAATCTGTGAGAGAATGACTGCTCTTTGACATCAAGGATATGAGATTGTTTTCTCTGTCTTTGAAAAATTGGATTGGTTGTGTCTCTTGGGGTTCTCATGGGCTATTGGTCTGTATGTGTGTGGTGTGATGGGATGGTTTCTAGAGGAAGAAGAGGCAATGGACTGGCAAGCTCTTTTCCACTATGTATTGTCATTCCAAAATCATAATATGTGTTTAAAATTCTGACCTCCAACTGAAATGAGACAGAGAATTTGTGTGTAATCCAGAGAAACCAGAAACTAATTTAGAGGGCCAGAATAAACTGGGGACTGTGATCAGAAGGAAGAACAATATTTCTTCTGAGTTCTGTCTCACTAACATAGCAAACACATTTGTTGATAAAAAATGTTTTTCAATAAAATGCCAAAAGTAATAAATGAAAAACTATTCCTAATGCCTCTATTAGGTAACTTCAGCAGTAAAGGGAAGGCAATTTAGGGGATATTTTTCAAGAGTCCTTAACTGCAAAAAAACTATTAAAAAGTCATATATAAGGTTAATATATGAAGAGTGACCCAAGAAGCTAGGGAGAAAAGCCATGTCTTTTAATCAATATGCTTACCACTTTATAGAAGGAACTTATTTCTATGAAAGCTCGGTGCCTGTTCCAACAATTACATTTTATTTTAATTAAGAAATATTCTCTTTCATAAGACATTGTGAATGGTATATTTGTTCCAAAATGGAGGCCAATATATGGTACCTATGATTATATGATCAATACCCACTAGCTGGCTAGTTTAGTTAATCATAAAGATAATTTGCTCATTATCAAAATAATGATTTGATGTCACTGATGGCCATTTTCTTTAGCCTAAGACCAAAGCACATGAAATGAATGTTTCAACTTCAACTATCAAAAATTAACTTTGGAAAAAACAGGAAACATAAAGGTTAGAACCAGACCTATGTACTGTCTGATGTTATACAATAAAAAGTGCATAGCACACGTATGATATTCTTACAACCAAATGTTTAACTTGAAAGTAATAAGACTTATAGATTTTATTTCTAGTTTTCAGGAAATACAAGGGATAGAAGAACAAATTAATCACATCACCATGAGGAAACAGATACAGATGTTTCTCTGACTACGACGGGGTTACTTACCAATAATCCCATCGTAAGTCAAAAATATCACAAGTTAAAAATGCATTTAATACACCTAATCTTGGGAACATCATAGCTTAGCTTAGTCTACCTACCTGAAGTGTGCTTAGAACACTTACATTGGCCTGCAGTTGGGCAAAATCATCTAACACAAAGCCTATTTTATAATAAAGTGTTGAATATCTTATGTAATTTATCAAATATTGTACTGAAAGTAAAAAACAGACTGGCTCACTGCCACTGCCCAGCATGGCAAGAGAGAATCATACATACAGACTATCCTCAGCCCAGGAAAAGATCAAAATTAAATATTGGAATTAGGGTTTCTACTGAATATGTATTCCTTTTGCAGCACCTTAAAGTCAAAAAATTGCAAGTCAGAGGGAGGAGCCAAGATGGTGGACGAGAAAAGTCGCCAGTCAGAGTGTCTCTGCAGAAAAGACGAATTTTAGAAGAAAGAAAAAAAAAAATAAGCCAGCAGAGAAACATAGATCAGGTGAGGGTCGAAAGGAAGGGTGCCTGAAACTACAGGAGACTCCACGGGAAGACGTTGCAGAGGAGAACTGGAAGGAGAAAGGTCCCAAGAGGCTTGGAGACCAGCGACAAGGGTGGGTGGAGCGGTTAACTTCCCCCTCCCTTGCATCTCGGACTGCTGGTGGGCTCCTGAGTGGCTGGAGAGACCTGCCGACACCAGCCCAGGGATGGCTGCTGACAGTGAGCAGTGGCCTCTTGCGGACTCAGTGCCGGGCTCCTAGCCCCCTCGGGGCACCTCCCCTGGCCCAGACCCGAGTCTATTGGCAGACACCATAGAGCTCCATTCTCTCCTTCCCCGTCCCTACCCATGGGTGTGCAGAGAGACAATTTAGCCATCACACGGAGGCATCTCCAAGGAACGGGACCTTTCCTTTTGGCGCCCTACAGCAGACTGAGGGGTACTCAGACTGTGAGTTCCCTACCCACCAGCCGTCCCAGGTGCTGCTTGCCTGGGGACTCCAGGAGAGTGGGGAAAATCCCGAGGTGGAGTGAAATCAATCCAGCTTGGGCACCCTGTAGGTGATTTAAGACCAGCACCTCTCCCCCTGGCAGGTCAGGGATTGATCTCCAGGGTCCAGGGGACAGGCCTGCAGACCAGACCCCGTACACCCAGGTCAGGATTGCACTGCCCCGGGGCACATAAGAGAGATCTGTGAAAGAGCCCACTGAGGAGTGTGCCTTCAGGAGCAGATCAGCGAGCCGGAGCGGCAACCCTCCACCCAAAAGAAGGTTGTGCACTCAGCTCAGGCTACGATCCTGGGTAGGGAACCTCCCAGCCCACGTCACAGCCAGTGGAGATCCATCGGCCTGAGTTCCCGCTTGCGGGCAGAGGCCTGGGAGTGGCCATGGAGAGGGGGAGAGTGGAGGGGAGTGAGACCTGCTCAAGAGTGCTGGACTTAGACAGCCCCAGCCCCCAGGCCCAGACTTTCAGGTGAGTGGAGCCATTTCAGCCCCTCCTGGCAGCTTTGCACAAAAACAAAGAGTAGACCTTTGACCCTGTTAACAGCAGTTGTGGAACCTGAGGGCAGGCTTACCCAATACAGGCCCACCCAGACTCACTCTTCCCACTGAGGTGGAGAATAAGGACACACCTGGAAATCCCAGGGCCTCAGCCACCTCCCGAGGCACAAGAGGGCCTCTCTAGAGGGATAAGAGCTAGCTACAGGACCCAAAAACAGCACTGCAGCTCGCTCCTCCCTGCAAGTGCCACCTACTGACAGAGAGGTAATCTTGCACACCCTTTTAATGCATCTACTGATTCATGATAAAGGGTGTGGTCAAATCTCACCCCAAAACACCACCTACTGGCTCAGAGACTAAACAGGGCATGTCATTATCCAAACGAAAATTTAAAGGCAAGAAGGAACAACTGATCCAGATGGGAAGGAACCAGCGAAAGAACTCTGGAAGTATGAAGACTCAAACAGAAAGCACACCCCCAAAGAGGAACAACAGCTCCCTAGCAATGGACATTAACGAAACTCAGAACACTAAAATGACAGAAGAAGAATTTCAAACATGGATTGTAAGAAAACTGAATGATATGCAAAAAAAAATGGATGACCAACACAAAGAAACCACAAAAAAAATCCAGGACTTGGAAGAAAAATTCACTAAAGAAATTGAAATATTAAAGAAAAATCAAACCGA